GTACTGACTGGGTCAGGAATGAGGAGTACAGGGTCACGATTTCCAATAGCATAGCCCAGCAGCATAGCATATATAACCACATCTGGGCTGCTGTTTTGAGCAGGCAACTTTTAGTCACTGTTCGAAGGAGTATGAAAATGTACTTTATACATGTAGGAAACAAGTATTATTTCTTCTTTTGGCCTGGATTGCATGTCCTGGTTTCATTCATGATGGATTTTAAATTGTCAATTCTTTATCATACTTTTGCACTAAATTCTATACCGTGGCTTCATTTAATTGTCCTTTTCATCTAAAGATTACATAAAAGTTTAACTTTGGAGAAAAAGCCTCAGAGTGAGGCTGCAGTACAGCGTTTCTAAGATTGGAAGAACAGCTTATGTTGCATAAACAAAGTTCAGTGGCTTATTACCACGACATTTTAAATGAGGTCTCCCACTCAGCTCAAATATAAACAAGTCTCTCATGTTTAAGTGCTGTTCTTTGGAGGAGAAGTTTAGGAGCAATGAGAAAAATTTCACAATCTCTGTTAAGTGTAGTAGATAATAAATCAGTGGCTCTTATGTAAAAGTCAAAAGTGAAACTAGCTAATATCAGTTTGGACAATGCAAAAACCAAACTGTGAAATAATGAAACTAAAACTAGCTTTATTTAGTGAACTGTTAGGAAACGCACTTAGTTTTGTTGTTCTATTAACCTGTTGTCTCCAGTGCTTGAGTTGCAGTGACTTTACTATTCTTAACAGATGGAGAAGCAAGCCAACCTTTATCTGGTCAGGAGCTTGGAAAAAAAGTACTAGAAATACAGAAGAGCTGAGGTGATTGCAAATATTAATGGAAGAATGCTACTGTCACAGACAGCAAACCAGCTCTATAGTAGCAGAGGATGAAGTGGTAGTTGGGATCCATAGCGTGTTTTAGGCATTGCAGATACTATTCCATTTAAATGGCAACTGATGTGCGTGTCCTTTGTCCATCACTTAACACTGACCGAAAGCTTACCTACTTTTTTAAATGGGACAAGATTGGTACTTCAGATCAAATACAGTGTCACTTGTAAAGAAATACCTTTTTTTGGTGGCTTTACACTTAAGAAAACAATATTTCTTTGTTTGAAAATGGCTTGCTTGCTGATCTAGATTTTCTAAGAGGTGATGAAGTACTGCTTGCCTGGCTGTATATTTAGGATGAAAAGTGATAGAGCTAACAAGCAAATTAGTTCTGCTTTTATAGCATTGTAACTTTATGCACATATTTGAGTCTGTATGGTTTCAAGATATTTAACTTTTTTGGATAAGGCTTTTAAATAAGTTATGAACAGTTTCTTAAATGCATTGTTATGCAGTTTCCTTTGCTTTTTGAGGATCTTAATCATGCATATTACTAGAAATTCTGGAGGTATCTTTCTGAGTTTTTTATATAGTAGTTGTGACAAACTAGAATTGTAAGCTCTTGAGGCAATTGTACCTTTTGGATACTCCGCTTGAATGGAGGAGCACAGTAGAAGTGATATCCTGGTGTGAAGGAGGTGCTAGGGAAACACAATGGCCAAGTTCCATAATGGTGAGGCTTTTTATTATGCTTATGTGAAATAGAAAAGTGACTGTAGTGTCAATAAGAGAATATGAAGTAGTTGTTTTTTGGGGGGGGTTCCCATTTGAGGAAAATTATTCCTTTAGTCATTTATTGATATTCTTTCTGCAAAAGATAAATGGTTTGGCAGGCCCATTGCCTGTCTCTAAGTCTTGTTTTGGTTTCAGTGCCAATTGAAATGTTTATGAACTCTATGATGAGAGAACTGAAAGCACCTGAACCCAAAATTACAGTTAGTAACTTCTCTTATTTTTCAACATAAGATTGGCCTGTTGGGGTATTCTACAGAAGTGGGTAGTTTAGAGTCCGTTAGTGGGAGGTACCTGAGAATAATCTTTTATTACTTTGTGGTATTGTTTAGTTTAAACGTTCTTTTAATTGCAGGAATTGAATTTGTTGCTGTAAACAAGACGATTCTTAAAAGATGGTGGATTATTATATGGTTCTAGGAGTGCAAAAGCATGCCTCACAAGATGACATTAAAAAAGCGTAAGTACTGTTATCTTGGTTTGTAAAATTTTGCTTGTAAATCTTCATGAGTAAACTCGTGCACTTGGTCTCTAGATCTTAATACTCATATCAGTATTTCCAATATTCAATTTTACATCTTGGAAACCTAATTTCTGAGAGATCAATAATGCTCTGGAAAACTCAAATTTTATTAACTTACACTTGTATAACTGATGGTTTCCCTTAAGTTTTCACGTACTAAACTATGGAATGTTTCTCAATACCTCCTCCTTCTATTGAATGTTAATGCTGTGGGTGTAAACCTTTCTCCTGGGAGAGCCTTTTTGTTCTGGGATCCTCCTGCACACTTACTAATCCATTATCCTTCTTTAAGTACCTAGGAGATATGCAAGATAAAATGTAGTAACACTTACTGTGGACAATGCTGTGTATGTCTCAGTTAATTGAGGTTCATTAAAGTTAATTCTCTCTGAAGCTCACTGCCTGTCATACAGATGTACCATGACAAAACATGAAGCACAAGTTGTTGTATTGCATGTTCTAGTTGTTAGCTTGACCACTTTTTCAAGGAATTAATTTACTTTGTTTTAAAAAGCACTATGCTAAGTGCTTTCACTATCACGTAACTCTTTCCAATTAAATTTTTTCTAAGACTATCCTTTTTAGGAGAAAAGGAAAATGTATATAAAGTACCTGCTTTCTTGAAAACTAGCTTTTCATTTTAAATGTGTTCTGGCTTCCACTTAGTGGACTGAACCTCTGGTATTGTAAACGGGTGAATGCAAATTTAAATTTGGAGGGTTTAGAGAACTTTAATATTGCTTGTAATTTAAGCTTGTCTGTTCCTTCCCCCCCTCCCTCCATGTTACAGGCGTGTATGTTGTAGCTGTGTTGGTCTAAGGACATAGGCAGACATGGCTCTTTGGGTAAATCTGATATCTTTTATTAGACTAACTTAAATATTTGGAAAAAAATGTTTAGCAACCTCTCGGGTTTAAAAACCCTTTGTCGTGAGCATGAGTCACGTAAGCAAGCTTGATGAAGGGTTTTTAAACCCGAAAGCTTGCTAAACATTCTTTTCCCCCCCAACTATTTAAGCTGGTCTTAATAAAAGATATCAGAATCCCCCAAAGAACCTTGTCTGCCCTTCCCTCCAGCCACTCTGTCCCCAGTTGCTTAAGATGGCCAGTTACAACCAACTTCTCCCCCTCTGCTTGTTAAAGATTGACTGGAGTCTTTGAAAAGCTTGCTGTCTGTAGAACAGCTTTCTTGCAAGTTGTGAAAGATTTGGCAGCCCATTCTTGTTTTCACTGATCTGTAAATATTATTCTCCCGCTCCATCTGGGGCATTGGAGGCTTAGGCTGATCATACTTTGGTGTATAAAAAAAATCCATATCACCTTCTCTTGTTTTTCTTCTGGACATGCTTGTAAGGACAGCTACTTGAATAAACATAGCTGCTGCTTGGGATCAGGAATGTAAAACCCAATTTTCTGAGAGCAGAGATTGGAAACCTATGGTGCACAGGCTGATTTTGCCTACAAAGCAGTCTGGCTCAGATTGGGTGATTGGTGACCTGGAGCTGTGGTCTGCCATCCATCCCCTTTGCTGTGGAGCCCACTGCATCTATGCTTAACTTTTGCTGCAGAGGGGCTGAGGATCAGTGGTAAGGGAGGGAGGGTAAGCACAGGCAATTTAGGGTAAGCATTGGCTGCTCCCTTCATGGGGGCAGGAATTTGCAGCCTGTTACTGTGGGGTAGGTCTCAAAGGGTGGTCTGCACTGACAAAATGTTGCTGCCCCTGTTCTAAAGAATTTTCCCAGTGATAGGAATTGTGTATTGCATGTAGCTTCCAAATCGTGTCAGTCCTTTTGAATCTGAGGAAGGAAGAGTACCGTTCCACAGAGCAAGCTCGTTGGTGATGCTCCCTCAGGATCCATGCTGTCCCCACAAGTTTGCCATCAAAAAGATGTCTTGCCTCTTTATTAATTTTCTTTATGATGGAGCTCCAAAAATATCCAGGCAAAATTTAATTCTACAAGGGAAGCACCCTCAGCAAGTTTGCGAATGACACCACGCTGGGAGGAGTAGTAGATATGCCAGAAGGTAGGGGTAGGACTCGGAGAAACCTAGACAAATTGGAGGATTGGGCCAAAAGAAATCTCATGAGGTTCAACAAGGACAAGTGCCAAGTCCTGCACTTAGGATGGAACAGTCCCATGCACCAGTACAGACTGGGGGTTGAATAGCCAGGCAACAACTCTGCAGAAAAGGATCTGGGGGTTATAGCGAACAACAAGCTGCATATGAGCCAACAGCATGCCCCTGTTGCCAAAAAGGCATACTGGGCTGTATTAGTAGGAGTATTGCCAGCAGATCTAGGGGAAACGATTATTCTATTCAGCACTGGTGAGGCCACATCTGGAGTCCTGTGTCCAGTTTTGGACCCCCCACTACAAAAGGATGTGGACAAATTGGAGAGATTTCAATGGAGGGCGGTAAAAATGGTTAGGAGCTGGAGCACACGACTTCTGAGGAGAGGCTGAGGCTGCTGGGCTTATTTAGTCTGCAGAAGAGAAGATGGGGGATTTAATATTCACCTTCAGCTACCTGAAGGGAGGTTCCAAAGAGGATGGAGCTAGACAGTTCTCAGTGGTGGCAGATGGTGGTCTCAAGTCGCAGCCAGGGAAGTTTTAGATTAGATATTGAGAAAGTACTGGAACAGGTTATCTCGAGAGGTTGTGGAATGTCTATCCGTGGAGGTTTTTAAGACCTGACTAAACAGAGCCTTGGGTGGGATGTTGTAGTTGGAGATGGTCCTTCTTTGAGCAGGGGGCTGGTCTAGATCAGTGTTTCTCAACCTGTGGGTCATGCCCCAAAAGGGGGTTGCAAGAATACATGAACGGGTCATGAACAAACTTTAAAAATGGATTCTCCTTTAAAGGATGACCTCTTGAGGTCCCTTCCAACCCTAATTTTCTATGATTCTCTGAAGCGACTGCCTCCTGACTGGTGGTCTGCCGTCCCTCCCTCCTCCTCCCTTTCCCCATGCATCAGTGTAGTTCTGTGAATTTTTGTGTGGAAAAGGGGTAGGCAGAACAAATTTCTCTTGCTAGATTTCCTTCTGAAGAACTGTTGCTCACTGGCTCATCTAATGAAGGCAACTTACTTAAATGGTTATTGAGGGAATAATGGGATCTGCAGAAGGAGCTTAGTTGCAAGCTGTGTAGGTGGGAGTGCCTATCAGTAATTGATTTCCTGGTAAATTGTCACTTTCTTCTGCCAGCAAAGCTTCCCTTGGCATAGGTCTATAAATGGCATTAAGTATTGTGGAGTTAGTAAACATCATAATCAAGTACTTCCTATTTTTAAGTATTCTTCTTATATATAGCTGCCTAATGCTTATGTATGCATCTAATTAAAATGCAGCATGATTCTTTTTCCCCCTCTTCATTTTAGGTACCGTAAATTAGCCTTAAAATGGCACCCTGATAAAAATCCAGAAAACAAAGAAGAAGCTGAGAGGCAATTCAAACAAGTAGCTGAAGCCTATGAGGTTTTGTCAGATGGTAAGTACTTTGAAAGGGATCTGACACTGAAGGTTTGAGGTTTTTTATGGGAGGCACTGAAGAAGCAAGGGTATATTGCTTATGTGTTAAAGGGCTATTTTAAAGCTGGTCCACAGGAAATAAATGTGTTGCTTGGGCACAACCGTTTCCCATTACAAAAAAGCTAAACTCCTATATCACAGGTGCAGGGGATGCAAAGAAACTATGAAACAAGAAATCTAATGTATAGGAATTGTTTAGTGTCCCTTTAGTATAGTATTGTGTAGTATCCCTTCCTTGCAACTTTTTGACTTAGAAAGAAGCATCCCTTTTGCCAGAGCCTTGGCAACTGCTTATATGAACTATCAAACAAACAGTTTTAAAAGTTTATTCTCTAACTGGTTGCAGCTGTCTCTGCTATTTCTGGTGTGTAGATCAACACAGACTTAAAGGGACAATATCACCATCTCTCATGTTCAAAATCTATTCACTAGAAAGGTGTGTTCATCCTTTGATATAGTCTGCCTTTTCTTTCCTCTATTTCCTCAAAAGATAAGTCTCATGCAATTGAATGTTTCTTTCTTTTCTATCTATATACATCAACAATGCCAGAAATACTTGCCACACTTGGTCTGGTTGTAAGAAGTTAATTCTGCTTGGCAACTTTACTTTATACATCCCATACAAGTAGACACAGAAACTTGTTTAGCATATAGTAATATCTTTCCAGTCTTTTCTTAAATTTACCTACTAAACTCATGCGTCAGGTTAGCAGGAGTGAACACTAGGACTGTGTGAAGCAGTAAGTATTGACTTTGGATTCAGCCAATTCAGGGGCACAGAGATTTGATTCAGTGCTGGGAGCAGGGGCTATACCCTACTGCCACTTGCCCCCTTCCTTCTGGAGTGAGCCACGCCTGTATCACACCCCCTGTCCTGGCTGGGCAAGTGGCGGCAGAGCAATGCAGGCGTGGCTTGCTCTGGGCAGAAGGGGGCAAGTGGCAGCAGGGCATATCCTCCGCTGGCAATACTATTGTGCCTGCATCCTGGCCCCT